AGCCAATGCTCCTCATTATAAAGTCATTTCTCTCCTTGTTTTTCAGAAATAAGCAGTTTAGAAGCTAGCAGCTTATAAATAAAATAAGGTTTCATGCTAGGGCAGGTATTGCACATAATGATAGGTGCCATAAGAAAAAATGTGAATGATTTGGCGGGCAAATATTAGTAATTTCTTTGTTACTTAACTGTTCATTCTGGATCCAGCCAGAATGCTGCTACTTGTTTGGGAATAACCTTGTGACATGAACCCTATTTCCATATGGCATGAGTCTAATCTTGTAAATGGCTGAGCAGCACTGCCATCTTTGAGACGAGGAAAGTAGGGTGTTAAGGTACTTTCTAAGTTTAGGAGCTTGATAAGGACTTGATCTTGCAATCCTCATTCATTCATGTAATCCTTATGGAACTCAATGGGGCCATTCATATGTCTGAGGATTGTTGGATCAGTGTCATTCCCATTAGCCTCAACGGACCTTGAAGAGAAACCTGCAGTGTGGCAGGTGGCGGGGAAGGAAAACAACTGAAGACATCCGGTGCAGTTCTTTAGAAGGCTGCATAAGATGACTGCACACACGTGTGTCAGGATTGGGTGCGTTGTCCGCTGGCAGTAATGCCACTGTGAGACTATTCGCCAGTATTTTAATAAGAATGTTCTTATCATACCACTGCATGGAGCTTCTAGCGAGCTCACGGAGCCAATTGCCAGGCTTTTAAGGTTAACACTCTTTGAACTCAAGAAATCTTGATTAAAAAAACTCAAGGCATTCTACCTGATTTCACTAAATTAATGGCAGATTGGAAGAACACAAAGTGCTTCTTAAAGCAGTAAACCCAGATGCCAACTTTGCTGCCACATACACTTGGACAACACCATTACTGGCCCCAACAACATCACTCATACCATCTCAGGAGTATTTAATTGCTCATCTTCTAACATTGTGTATGCCATCAAATGCCAACAGTGCCCTTCAGCTCTCTGTATTGGACAAACAGGCCAAACCCTATGCCAAAGGATAAATGGACATAAATCTGACATCAGGAATCACAAGACAGAGAAACCAGTAGGAGAACACTTCAATATAGTGTTCCAGGACATTCTATACAAGATCTCAAAGTAGTTGTCATATTACAAAAGAATTTCAGAAATAGACTGGAAAGAGAAGTTGCTGAATTACAACTTATTACCAAACTTAAAACCATGGAGAGACCTGGTCTGAATAGAGACATTGGATTCTTATCTCATTATACATGATAAAGCTATTTTCGGCCATCTCATCCCTTGCTTTTTCCTGTAAGACCAATTGCAGTTGTTAACAGTCGTCAACAGGTTTACCACACCTATCAGCCAATCATCCATTCCCACCACCCTTCTGAGTAATACCTCTCCCCACCCTCTCACTATATATAAGGACCTGGTGACTTCTGTTTCAGTGCATCTGAAGAAGTGTGAATGCACATGAAAGCTCATACCAATAACTAACTTAATTGGTCTCTAAGGTGCTACTGGAAGAATTTTTTAATTTTGTTTTGACTACGGCAGACCAACACGGCTACCTACATGTATCTGCTTCTTAAAGGATCATCTGTTTTATGCAGGGGCAAGAAGAAGGGCGTCTGAAGTTTGGGCTTCTCTGTGAGGTCTGTAAGAAGCCAGGTTAAATTATTTTTTAGGAGAGCTGGATGCAAACGGTCTATGGACATTGATCTTCACATGGTCTTGCAGAGTGTGATAAACGAACATTAATAAATTCCAACAGAATCTACCACGATTACAGCCAACACATCTGTAATATGTAATAAGCTTTCTGGAATGATTTCTTCCTCCTCCAGCTATATCTTTATATAGTGTACTGATCATCTCCTTGCTGCCGAAGAGGGAAGCAGAAGAAACCCATGAAACAAATAAATAGAAATATGTTCATGCACCTCATATGTTTTCTTATCATTTGGCTTCATTGGATAACCCTGCATTCTCGTCTTATGAGAGAGATGTTTCCCTGCATACATGAACATTCCCTTTAATGTGAATTGAAAGTGCCAAGGAGATGTCGCAAAATTCACTTTGTTCCGGGTATGCTTAACCTTTTGGGTAGCATCCAGACATTCAAACCAAGATCGTTCGGACCTAGAAAAATTCATAGATAAATATCTTCCACCTGGTTTTGATTAAGTCCATTTCTGCCTCTATCAGATTTGTTTAGCCAACCTTTTCGGGGGATATTGTGCAGCCCATAAAAAAGTTATTCCCTAAGTGGAGATGTTAGAGACATTCTTTAAGGGGGAAATTGCTTAAAGTATTAGTGTGACTCTTCGATCCATAAGAATGATGAATCACACTGCTACTTGTACAGAGCTTTGAAAGCGCCCATTTTAAGTTGATCCTTTTAAATGGCTGTACTTTCAAAAAGGTATATATTGCTATATTCTGCTATTAAGAGTTAAGGGTGGAGGGGAAACTCACGCAGTCTATCTTTTCATCATCTGACAGTTAAAGTGTTCCGTTTTTTAAAAATAGAGATTTTTCTAAGTACCATGTCAACACAAAACTTCCTATCAACAGCTAAAAACTTCCTATCAACACCCTTCAAAGAAACGGATATCTTGAGTTCCGTAGCAGCTTTTTATATTTATAATCTGACATTATAAAATATTTTACTCTTGCAGTACTGTCAATTAATGCCTTGGACTTTAAAATTGCACTGCCACTGAATGAAACTCATCATCATTTCATGCACTGCCCACAGTGGCACCTGGCAAGCTCCTAAGCTCTGTATGATTTTAATCAGTAATTAAAGCACTATATTCAGCACTTTGCCAAACAGAGAGGTTAAACAGTGAGAGCCCTGTTGAATTCTGTGGATAGAAGGATGTTTTTTTTTTAGAGATACCTTCTTAATTAGCAGTGGATGCCTGTTCATGATGGCTACTGCTTATTTTTAAAATAAAAGTGTCAACATATTTGGGTTAGGACAAGCAAGGGCAAGGAGGAAACAGAGATGAGGGAGAGCGAGGAAATGATGATGAACGCCCAGTCTCCAGAGCACAGGAATAGCGATCACAGAAGAGACCAGTGGCCGGCAGGGGGAATAGGGACACCCAGAAGAAGGCAAGGGGCTAGAGGGAGCAGTGGAATCGCCAGCGTGACACAGAGAGCAGGGAAGAGTGCCCAGTATCAAGCGCTGGTAGCTCAAAAAGAGGAGGCAGATAGGAGGCACACTTCACGGGAGCGAAGAACGTCAGACGAAGTGGAAGTCGCTCGCCCAAGTTCAAATGCACAGAGTGGGCATGAAGCCGGAAGGGAGCATCCTAAAAGCCCGACGCAAGAGCAGAAGGTCCGGGGTCAGCTCAGAGGTCCGCGAAGGAAAACCCGGGGGCAGAGGACCAGAAAAAGTAGAGGATGAGTAAGGTCAGGGACTACAGTTCCCCCACCTAAGAGTGAGTTGAGCAAGGCACGTGTTCAAGTGTTAGAACCAAGCATCCCCATTGTGGGAAAATCCAGTGAAGTCGTGTTATTTAATTCATTTTATTCTATCCCACTTTTCCTCCTAACAAGCTCAAGGCAACATATGTTCTCACCCCAATTTTATCTCATGACAATAGCTCAGTTGGTTAAAGCTGGTGCTGATAATGTCAAGGTTGCAAATTCAGTCCTGTATGGGACTGCTGTATATCCCTGCATTACAGGATTGGATAAGATGATCCTCAGGGTCTCTTCCAACTCCACAATTCTATGATTCTATGACAACCTTTGAGGTAGGTTAGGACTGTGACTGGTCCAAGGACATCCAGTGTGCTTCATGGCTGAGAGGGGATTCAGGAACATCAGAGGGGGCCAGACCATTGGTCCATCTAGCAAAGCAGTGTTGAACTTCTGGTTTGCAGATTAATGTGGAATAATGGAACAAATCTACTATTTCAATCTACTGGTTCAATCTGGAGCCAGACTAAATTAGTTGAGCAGAATTCATGGCTAACTGGTCCCATTGGTTTCAGGTAGAACCAAGTATGACTTAGTTTGGATTGAACCTGGTTTGTCAAGATATACAGTATCTATCTGATCAGGGGGAAGTGAATGACTCACTGGCCATTCCTAATACTTCCTGAGCCTTCAAATAGTGTTTCAGAAAAAACTGAATCAGAACAACCATAACATTCAAAAATACGAAATTTTGCCAGTGACTAGAGCATTGCCCCTCAATCTGGCCTCAGCAAGCCCCACCTGCCTGCCTTGTTGCCTACAACCAGGGGGTAGCATTGGCTGGTAGGTCCTTGACTTAGATGTCTTTGTACAACTCAGTGGAGACAAGGATGGGGACAAAACTAGAATTAAGAGCAGCTGGATAGCTCAGTCGGTGGAGTGTAATACTCTTAATCTCAGGGTTCTGGGTTCATGCCCCACCTTGACCAAAAGATCCCTGCATTGCAGAGGGTTGGACTAGATGACTCTTGTGGTCTCTTCCAACTCTACACTTCTATGATTCTAAGTAGCTCTGCCTGTCATTGGTTCTGGCTCCACCTGCTGTTGGTCTCCCTTCTATCCACTCTACCAGTTCCATTGAGAACCAGCCAATTACAGTGGTACCTCGGTCTACGAACAGCCCTGTTAACGAATGCTTTGGACAACGAACCCTGCAAAAGCGGAAGTAGGTGTTCCAGTTAGCGAACTTTGCCCCAGAAGACGAACAGAAACTGAACACCAGTGGTGGGAGGCCTCATTAGGGAAAGTGTGCCTCGGTTTAAGAACGCTTTGGTTTAAGAACGGATCTCCGGAAAGGTTCGTAATCCAAGGTACCACTGTACTGCATTTTGCCAACATTGCAAGGGAACTTGGTGCTGTATCAGATGATAGGTGAAGCCATTCAACATACTGTCAGCTTGGGCTTCTTGTCTAGTTCTGAACTTATCTGTGGTATTGACCTGGAAAAGGAGACAAAGAGGAGAGCAAACCTGAAAATGAATACTTTCTAATGATTATCTCCCTATCCCATTGCAGAGCAGAAGAGCACTGAGAACATTCAGGCCTCCAACATGAGCAGGAAAAGGAGGAGAAGCTACAAGAGCAGGAAAAGCCCAGATACCAGGGAAAGTAAGTTTGCAACAATGGTTTACCTGATAATAGGGACTAGCTTGGTGATCCTTGAAAACTCCTTCCCTTGCAAGCACCAGTTGCCAAAAATGTGGCCTGTGCTGAATGGGATGGGATGCACCCCAAAGATAAATAATGGAAATCAATATGGTGCAGCGTCATAAAGCTATTTTCTGCTGGAATTACTGATGTGTTCCTCATGCTAATATTTATTCCTGAAAAAAAATATAAATGGGAGCAGTAGCTTTATGAGATGAGGTTTCAGCCCTGTGGGGTTACAGTTTGTTTCAGGATATGCACTTTTCAAAAGGCTGTTTTTAACTCTTTCACTTTATGCTTAATAGGTGAAATGCAGACTCTGCTCAGTTCAGTGTCCAAATTCTCAGTGAGTTCAGTCACCACTGAATATTTCATGTCCTCAGATATACCACTGTGCAGTTTCTATGCTATATACAGTGGTGCCTCGCAAGACGAAATTAATCCGTTCCGCGAGTCTCTTCGTCTTGCGTTTTTTTCGTCTTGCGAACCACGGCTATTAGCGGCTTAGTGGCTTAGCGGGCTATTAACGGCTTAGCGGCTATTAGCGGCTTAGCGGCTATTAACGGCTTAGCGGCTATTAACGGCTTAGCGGCTTAGTGGCTTTAAAAAAAGAAAACAAACTCGCAAGAACTCACAAGACGTTTCGTCTTGCAAAGCAAGCCCATAGGGAAATTCGTCTTGCGGAACGACTCAAAAAACGGAAAACCCTTTCGTCTAGCGAGTTTTTCGTCTTGCGAGGCATTCGTCTTGCGGTGCACCACTGTACTTGCTCTTGATTGTTTACATGGAGAGCTTATAGGATTTATGTAAGCACACACAAGTTTTTAGTGCTTGATGTTTAGTTATGTTTTTATATTACATTGGTAGCCACCCAGAGTGGCTGGGACAACCCAAGCAGATAGGTGGGCTGATGATGTTGTTGTTGTTGATGATGATGATATTTATCACCCCTTGTGATTAACCACATGGCCTAAATGGAGGGCAAGATGCCAGTCAATAATAGGAGACCATGGAAACTTTCCTCTATGCAAACCAGGCTCTCACACAACTAGGACACCAAAAGAGAGTTTTTCATGCCCTTTGCAGTGGAGCTAGGTCAATTACACTGATTGTTCGGCTTCCTGCCAAAAGGAAAGGCGACCACCCATTGAAGGGACCCGAGAGAGAAGTCATCATGCTTTCCAGCTGACTTGTATTGGTAGATCTATAACAATTCATTTATTCTGGATGTGGAATATTATGACTGAGTGTAGTAATGACAACTTAGTTGCTATTGATGAATTCATACAGGCAGGGTGTAGGGGCCAAGGGAAACGCAGCTGCTGCCAAGTATGACAAATGATGGCTTCTTGTGAACTGTGGGAGCAGCTGAGCATAATAAGCATGTACCATATAAGTGGGGTGTACTGTTGAGCGGCAGCAGGGGGGGGGGAGACGCAGAGAAATCAACTGTTTGGCATATTGCAAGTCAGCAATTATAAATGCATGCACCGCTTCCAAAAATAACCTTTCGTAAGATTAGTAGAGTTTGTGGAAGCTCGCAATAAGAATGGAGACAGGCAATGTTTTCGAGACAATCAAAAGTGGTTTGAGAGAGTTGTTATTTCCCAAGGTGTGCCCAACACATTGATGATGATGGACCCTCTAGCATAGTGGTTCTCAACCTGTGGGTCCCCAGATGTTGTTGGACTACAACTCCTATCATCCCTGAGCCTTGCTAGCTAGGGGTGATGGGAGTTGTAGTTCAACAACATCTGGGGACCCACAGGTTGAGAAAGGCTGCCTAGCATCTCAGGTCGAATCAGAGCTTCCAGACTGTTTGAAACAACACAAAAACCTACAAACCAGCTTTACTGTAAATGTAATCCGCATATACAGTGCTCACGCTCACGTGTAACAAGCTCCCAAGGAGCAGATTACAGCTGATTTGCTACAAACCTGAAACTTTTAGCTCAGCATGGCAAATAAGTCAAGGTTTGGTTTCGTGTGCCGTCTGAATTTCGGCTTGTGGTTAAAGCACTCTCCTCCGCAAGGGCTGTGGAAGAGCAAAGCAGGTGTAAACTCCTCTCCAAGAGCCAGCACATTTGTGTGGTCCTGGTAAACCAAAGTTTGGCTTTCCACGTTGTGCAAACCAGGTGAGCAATGTATCCTCATTCCAGCTATGGCCCCTGTCTGCACTATACATTTAAACCAGTACCATACCACTTTAAACCACCATGTCTTTCCCCAAAGAATCCTGAGAATTGCTGTTGGCTAGGGTTGCTGAGAGTTGTTAAGAGAACCCTAGTCTCCTCCCAGAGCTACTGGGAAGAGGATTGACTGTTACACCAGTCTTGGAACTGTAGCTGTGTGAAAGGAATAGGGATCTCCTAACAAGTCTCAGAAACCATAACAAACTACAGCTCCCAGGATTCTTTGGGGGGGCTGTTTAAAGTGATATGATACTGGTTTAAATGTATAGTGCAGATGATTCTGACTCTCCAAAAAACAACAACAACCACCACCCAACCCAGCCTAGATTTCCAGGTGTTCTTTAAAAATAGTAATGTTCTTCTTCCTTTACTTTTCACTCTTAGATGAACATATGCCAGTCATCTGCAGATGCCAGCAAAACACTGAAGGTGTTGAAGGCAGAGGAAATAAGCACCCAGTAGAAGCTAATAATCATGGAGCTGAGGACATAGGACAGTCAGACAAAAATAGAAGCAATCATTCTTGCACACTAGAGAATGGGAGAAAGAACAATGAGGGTGCTCTTGAAAACAGAGAAGAAGAAAACATATCTGACAGTGCGAAAGAAGGAAAACAAGAAAAAGATTGTCCTTTGCTGGATTTCTCTCAGCAAGATGAAGTCTTAGCAGTGATAAGTGTTGATGAATCAGAAACCTCAACAGGAAACATCACACTGGAATGCAGCTCCGACAGTGTGCATTCTCCTCAGTCAGAGAATGTATTTATTGCAGAAGTGAAATGTGGTTCCTTTAATATGAAAGTGGAAGTGAAGAAAGATTCACTTCCTGGAGCAGACTCCGCATCTGGAAAATGGAAATGTCCTGAGAATAGGTGTTATCATAAAGGACACTATTGTAAGCAGCACAAGGAGCGAAGAGCATCCAGCAATCTTTCTGGAAAATATGAGACACCATCGAAATGCAAGATCCAAATGGCCAGTAACCCAAATCCATCCATGTCAATTAGCATTGTAGGGAAGGAAATCAAGGTGCAATATATCAACAGGAAGCAGAAACTAAGGGTTAGTATTGAGCCTGGTGTTGAAGCAAGGAAATGTGGCCCGGCTAGGAGCTCAAAATATGGAAACATGTCCAGTGATACAGATTATTCTACCACCGAGGAATCTTATTCAGATTTTGAGTCAGATTTTAGCTTTCAGGAGAAGGAGGAATCATTCACAAGTTACATGGGTCCAGAGTGGGATGCCCCAATACCTCCACCAGCTGAGTTTGCTGACTCTGAGGAAATCTGCTTAGATAGTGCCACTGAAGTTGTATCCTTAAGTCCAGCAGGTGACATGAACATGTCAGATACTTTCTCAGCTGCCTTAAATTGTGGAGAAGGAAGTAATCTCTGTCAAGAGAAAGGTGACAGAAGGAAGGCGTGTGCCAATGGAAATGATTTCTATAAAGAAATTGTTTTTTCAGAATTTAGCTATACTGGAGAATCTCCTCTAGAAGACTGCAGTTCCAGAGAAATATATCCTGGAAAGAAACCTAATGATGAGATGCGTGATGCTCACCAAGTAAGGAACAGCAGTCTAATAGACACAAGGAATATTATGCGTGTTTCACATATGGAATCAAAAAACACAAGAAGCAATTCTTTCCCAGCCACCCCTGTTGATATATTGTCATCATTTCACCCTAGAAGAGACTCTGGTTTCTATTCAATGCCATCTTTATCCTTAAAAGTGCTACCCAAGCCAAGCAAAGCATTGAACCCTTACAGCAAAAATGCCCATACGCCTACCAGCTGTACAGAACTTTCCTCAAGTTTTGCATCATTGTTTGGTAATCTCAGAGATCTTAAATGCTGCTATTCCTTCACCTCGTATGACCATGAAATGACTGTGTATCATGCTGAGCTGGAAGAAAATCTAGGCAATGCTTTTTTCATGGATCACTCTTTAGAATACATAGAGGACTGTAGAGAAATGGATTGGGTGGCTGGAGAGGATTTTCATACCATTGCCAATTCCAATTCCAATGAAGAACATAAGGAAGAATGTGGACCCATTGAGCCTCTGAGAACACTAGATGTATCTGAGGAATACACAGAACTCACAAATGGTGGAAATGAATTTGAGGTTCTAAGCAGTGATCACTACAAAGTCCAGGCATACATAGAATTACAGAATGAAGAATTATTAAATCAAGTTTCCTTGCATTCTGGAAACCAGTCTAGTGACGATAAAGATGACAATAACATTGCTGCTACAGAAAGCATCCAAGGCCAATTCTCTGCAGAACAGCCCAATGGAAATCATCAGCTGAGTATTGCAGAGTCTGATATAACGAAGAAACGGAGAAGATCAGTGATGACTGTAATAACTGGAGAATTAGAACGAAGACTTATCATTCAAGGTGACAGAAAGTCTGTGGCAGAATCTTTTGACTTGACAATAAAAAAGGAGCCCTTATTGCCTTGCAGCGTAAGAGAAGCATTTATGTCACCTCTGTTGGATGCTGAGGAACCAGATTTTGATAATGAATCCCAGAGCTTTGCAGAAGTTGAGGAGATGCCTGAAGACATGCATGAAGATTGCCAAGATGCTTCTGCCCAGGCTGATGCTGTATCTTGCTCTTCAGAAGACGAGCAGGTTTTGGCTGATACTGAAGCACCCGAGATGCTTTCCAGCAAACAAGATATATGTTCGTCTGATCTTTCTGGAAAACATTTAGCAACAGATCAAGTGCAGGAGTTACTCAAACCTAGTTGTGAAAAACCAGAGGTACAAAGTGAAATAAAGACGGATTTGGGCCAGAGCCCAGACACTTTGCCCCCAAACAACCAGACAGGTAAGTACTTCCAGATTCCTTGGAAACAATACTTTGTTCTTACTTTATGCATCAAGGCAAAGGGTTGCAATGAAATGTCCTTCTGAGAACTAGTCAGTTTTGTTAATCATAAAGGGATCCCCTTCTTAGCTCCAATGGAGGAGCAGTCTAGACACAACTTGCAAGTTTTACTCCTGCTTGAAGGACACATATTTTTGCTGCCTCATCTTACTGTTTGTGCAGATACCTTCCTTGACCCAGTGCCTTCTGAAAGTAGGCCTCAGTTGTTCTAAGTAGAATTAATACTAGTATGCTTTAAACTCAAAATGTCACATATTAGCAAAGTAGAGCTGGACTTGGGAATGCTGGTAAGGTTGGTAAAATGCTAACATGATCCTTCAGTAAGGTATTTCTTTCTCTAATCCAGTTGTTTTCAAATTGTGTCCAATGGGGTTCCCAAGTTATCAAGCCAATAATGTCAGGCAACTTACCTAAAATAGAGTTGCCCATCTTTCCTTAAAACATGGAACTGCATGGGGTCACTGGCTGAGTCTAGGCCTAGACAGCATCTGTAGAAAATGAGGGTGCACCTGAAAGACTTCCCAGAATTCACTGCAACATACAGCTGAAGCCATTTGATGTTACACCAAGCAATTGTTATCCAACACTTTCCACTGCATTCCCCCATCATTGACCATGAAAAGTTAGGTTTTCGTTTTTGAATGGGTTTGTTGCGCAAAAACATAAAATCTATTTGGATTGTGTATTGGCCAGTGTGCCATTGAATCCTACCTGCAAAAATAGCAACAGTCTGGAAGGCCCCTGGCACTTATTCCAAACACTGCAATTTCTTCAAGGCCAGTTCAGACAAACAAGCAGCTCTTTCTTCAGATGGCCTTAAATCCATGCGTCATAGCAGGCCAAATAGTTATTTATATGTGGTGCAAGGCAGCTTACTATCCTCCAGATGTGTGTCAAGCTTATTTTGAAACTTGAAAGATGGCAAGGTAAAAAAAAAGGGGGGGGAGAATAGTTTCATAACCTATGTCAAATTTTAGATATTTCATCATTCTTTATACTTGGTTGTTCCCCTTGTCGTGCTGTGATTCCTGATGCATATATCACTGCTGCCTTAATTTATAAGAACATTTTAAGGCGTAAATAAAGAAGAAGAAGCAGCAATAATCTAAAGGGCACATGACTGGCTTTATAAACCCTGCTCCTGGACAGGATGCTGCAAAGGCAGCTTAATAGAGATGGATATAAACAAAGAGGCAACCAAATATTCCCTGTGAGGAGGAAAGGAAGTTTTTAGTTTCTGGAAAGTGTATACCGGGAAGAACACTGTATCTCACAGCTCCGCTCCCACCCCTGTTAAAGAAGCAGCAAAGTGAATAATTTCTAAATTATTAAAGGGCAGCTTGGTTTTCCTCTCCTTGCCGCAAACTGTTGTCACTTTAATGTTTCTTTTTCTTGTGCTTTAAAACCTGCATAGTTGATTTTCTGTGTGTTACTAGTTCAATTGGTTAGAGCATGGTGCTGATAATGCCAAGGTTGCTGATAATATCCATATTCCTGCATTGCAGGGAGTTGGACTGGGTGATCCTCAGGGTTCCTTCCAAGACAATTCTGTGATTCTATGTGTTTTGAACTAGTACTCCCACCAGTGTGCTGTCTGGAACAGATGGACGTTGTAACACAAACATCCCACCAGGCTGGGAAAGGCTGGGTTTAAACCAATGTTATGAAAACAAGTTCCCTGCAATATGATTACACCTCCCGGTGGACACTGCAGCAAATTGGTGGCACTGTGGTCTAAATAGGAACCGCTCCGGCGGGAAGGTAAACGGTGTTTCCATGCGCTGCTCTGGTTCACCAGAAGTGGCTTAGTCATGCTGGCCACATGACCCAGAAGCTGTACGCCGGCTCCCTTGGCCAATAAAGCGAGATGAGCACCGCAACACCAGAGTTGGCCACAACTGGTCCTAATGGTCAGGGGCCCCTTTACCTTTACTTTCACAGTATCCAGAAGTATTCAGAACAGGGGTCAGCAACTGTTTTCAGCTGTGGGCCAGTCCACCGTCCCTCAGACCATGTGGTGGGCTGGACTATATTTTGAAAAAAATAATGAACAAATTCCTATGCCCCACAAATAACCCAGAGATGCACTTTAAATAAAAACACACATTCTACTCATGTAAAAACATCAGGCAGACCCCACAAAAACCCAGAGATGGATTTTAAATAAAAGGACACATTCTACTCATGTAAAAACATGCTGATTCCCGGACTGTCCACGGGTCAGATTGAGAAGGCGATTGGGCTGCATTCGTCCCTCCTGGCCTTAGTTTGCCTACCCATGATTCAGAAGAACCTCCAGCACAGTACATGGGAGGAGGGGAGGGGAAATAGTTCGGTCAGACAAGGTGGAATGCGTTCGCAGGTGAAACAATTGGAAGAGTGTGGCATTGAAGTCCATCCACAGTGTTGAGTAGATTAATTGGTAAAATTTCTCAGTTCAAAACCTTCAAGAGATTCCAATTGATTTCAGGGAAGATTATTTTAAAAACTGAATATTCAAAATACAAACCCTTGTAAAAGATCAGCAGATAAAAATCCCCATGCCTGCTGTGACACATGCATTCAATCCTAATGAAGTGTATTTAAAAAAATACAAGATCTCAAAGCAGCTGTCTTATTACAAAAGAATTTCAGAAATAGACTTGAAAGAGAAGTTGCTGAATTGCAACTTATTACTAAACTGAAGGGGACGCGGGTGGCGCTGTGGGTAAAAGCCTCAGCGCCTAGGGCTTGCCGATCGAAACCTCGGCGGTTTGAATCCCCGCAGCGGGGTGCGCTCCCGTTGCTCGGTCCCAGCGCCTGCCAACCTAGCAGTTCGAAAGCACTCCCGGGTGCAAGTAGATAAATAGGGACCGCTTACTAGCGGGAAGGTAAACGGTGTTTCCGTGTGCGGCTCTGGCTTGCCAGAGCAGCGATGTCACGCTGGCCACGTGACCCGGAAGTGTCTCCGGACAGCGCTGGCCCCCGGCCTCTTGAGTGAGATGGGCGCACAACCCTAGAGTCTGTCAAGACTGACCCGTACGGGCAGGGGTACCTTTACCTTTTACTAAACTGAAAACTATGGAGAGACCTGGTCTGAATAGAGATACAGTGGTACCTCCCGTTGTGGACGGGATCTATTCCAGAGCTCTGGCCGGATCCCGAGGTTTTCGCAACTGGAGGTGCCTATTCTGTGCATGCGCGTGATGCAGTAGAGTGCTTCTGTGCATGCACGTGCGGCAAAACCCAGAAAAATACTTCCAGGTTTGCTGCGTGCATATCCCAAAGGATTCGTAACCAGAGATACTCATAAAGCAGAGGTACCACTGTATTGGATTCTTGTCTGATTACATATGCTAAAGCTATTTTTGGTCATCTGCATACTATCCCTTGCTTTTCCATGTAGGAATAATTGCAGTCGTTAAGAGTGGTCAACAGGTTTACCATACCCATTGAGTCAATCACCCATCTCCTACTACCCTTCTGAGAAAAACCCCACCCCACCCTCCCACTATATATAAGGGTCTGGTGGCTTCTGTTTCAGTGGATCTGAAGAAGTGTGCATGCACATGAAAGGTTATACCCAGAACAAACTTAGCTGGTCTCTAAGGTGCTACTGGACAGTTTTTAAATTTATTTTTAAAAAGTTATTTTCTCTAATGTGCAAATTTAACACTATATTTAACCAATTAATCACAACTAAAACACATATATTTATCAACTAAGATTTCTTTCATTGGGTGATAGCCTTAGAAATAGTTACTAGCCTTTGATTATTTAGGCTGCAATCCTATATACACAAATAACTTATCTGGGAGTAAGCAGAACTGAACTCAGTGGGGATTTCTTCTGATATATGGTTAGGACTGCACTGTTTGTGCCTGTAAAATATGTAAGTATGTAAGCGGGCAAGTGTATAACACAGATAGAGCCACCTGAATACATATTGCCCAGTCTATATTCAAATATAATTGTAAAATTTTGCATTCAACTAAGTTTTACACAGGGTAGAACCATTAAAATTAATAAACATAAGTTTCTGGAAAGTGTATACTGGGAAGAAAACTGTATCTCAAAGCTCCGCTCCCACCCCTGTTAAAGAAGCAGCAAAGTGAATAATTTCTAAATTATTAAAGGGCAGCTTGGTTTTCCTCTCCTTGCCGCAAACTGTTGTCACTTTAATGTTTCTTTTTCTTGTGCTTTAAAACCTGCATAGTTGATTTTCTGTGTGTTACTAGTTCAATTGGTTAGAGTAAAAAGTATCTGCTAATACTGCCTCTAGCTTCCTCCTTTGAAATGATGCTCGGTATCTCTTTTTTTGTTGCGGGGGCGGGTTGCAATGACAGAGGTAAAAGGTAAAGGGTAAAGGGACCCCTGACCGCTAGGCCCAGTCGCGAACAACTCTGGCGTTGCGGCGCTCATCTCACTTTATTGGCCAAGGGAGCCGGCGTACAGCTTCAGGGTCATGTGGCCAGCATGACTAAGCTGCTTCTGGTGAACCAGAGCAGCGCACGGAAATGCCGTTTACCTTCCCGCCGGAGTGGTACCTATTTATCTACTTGCACTTTGACGTGCTTTCGAACTGCTAGGTTGGCAGGAACAGGGACTGAGCAACGGGAGCTCACCCTGTCACGGGGATTCGAACTGCCGACCTTCTGATCGGCAAGTCCTAGACTCTGTGGGTAACCCACAGCGCCACCCGCATCCCATCTGTGAAAGTATGCAGAAGTAAATCTCTCATTTCAACATAATTTAAAGGTAAAGGTACCCCTGCCCGTACGGGCCAGTCTTGACAGACTCTGGGGTTGTGCGCTCATCTCATTCTATAGGCCAGGAGCCAGCGCTATCCGCAGACACTTCCAGGTCACGTGGCCAGCATGACGAAGCTGCTCTGGCGAGCCAGAGCCACACACGGAAACGCCGTTTACCTTCCCGCTAGTAAGCGGTCCCTATTTATCTACTTGCACCCGGGGGTGCTTTCAAACTGCTAGGTTGGCAGGCGCTGGGACCGAGCAACGGGAGAGCACCCTGCCGCGGGGATTCAAACCGCCGACCATGCGATCGGCAAGTCCTAGGCGCTGAGGTTTAACCCACAGCGCATAAAAGTAGGCTTGCAGTTTTATCCTGATGTAGAAAAGGGCTTGTAACATGTATTTAATAGTAAATACACTTTGGTTTTTTCCCCTCCTGCAAATTATGCAATTATGTAGCTGCTGCGTTGGAAGACACGGGCAAAATACTGTCTGATGAGCAAGCATCAAATGACGCCAGCAGTTCCCATGAAGAAGCAGTAGATCGTTGGGCCAGACGAAGGAAACAATTCCAAAACAGCAAGAGATGTGGTTCGGCTGGTGGGAGTTCCATAATCAGCAGTATCACAGAAGGATCAAGTGAGTGTTCCACATTTATTGCATTGGTCAGGAAAAGACATTTATACAGAGAGCTATGAATAAATTCTTCCAGTTTGAAGGGAGGAGCTCTCATTTCATGGCATGGCATTTTCTTGTTCTAAACAGCTTAGATGGGATGGGAAACCATGGTTTGAACAAAACATGGTACGAAAACCATAGCCTCATGTGCAGAAGAGATGAAAGGAACAAATGGGCATGACATGTGTTCTAAGCTTTATAAACCATGGTTAAATACACAGAGAGAACATCTGGGCCCTGTTCTCTTTTAGCATGCCTCTCCATCTATTTATCCAAAGATATGGGGGTTTGTGTGTATATAATTAGGTTTATCTATTTATCTACGTTTATATCCTACCTTTAGGGACACAGGTGGCGCTATGGGTTAAACCACAGAGCCTAGGGCTTGCCGATCAGAAGGTCGGCAGTTCGAATCCCCACGACGGGGTGAGCTCCCGTTGCTCGGTCCCAGCTCCTGCCAACCTAGCAGTTTGAAAGCACGTCAAAGTGCAAGTAGATAAATAGGTACTGCTCCAGTGGGAAGGTAAACGGCGTTTTCATGCGCTGCTGTGGTTCGCCAGAAGCGGCTTAGTCATGCTGGCCACATGACCTGGAAGCTGTACACCGGCTCCCTCGGCCAATAAAGCGAGATGAGGGCCGCAACCCCAGAGTCGGCCACGACTGGACCTAATGGTCAGGGGTCCCTTTACCCTTTACCTATATCCTACCTTTACTCCAAAGAGTTCAAAATGACTTACCTAGCTCCCCCTCATTTTCCCATATTTTATCCTCCAAGAGGATACATTACACCGAGAGACAGCGACTGTCCCAAGGTCATTCAGTGAGCTTCATGGCTGATTGGAGATTTGAACCCAGGCCTCCCAGGCCCTCGTACAACAGTTTAACTAGCTGTTATACACGCTGATCCCTAGCAGCTACTGGCTTTCCACAAAGCTAGACAATATTCAGTGTAAGAGTGTGGGGAAAAAAACCCTCCAGAATCATGTCACAGATACAGAAATAAAATAGATACAATTCTCAAGGGGTTTTCTCCATGACCTCCACTGATTGGATTAACCTTCATAATCTCTTGGCTAAAAGTTATTCCTCTAGCTCATTATTATTTCTGCTTTCCTTTCACTTGTTTAAAAGTATGCCAAATATACTAGTCTGGAGTCTCAAGAGGATAGCATTCAAGCCTAATGAATTTGTAGTGCAGGCTGATGGGCTCCCCAAGTGGGAATCATAATGTCTAGGGAACAGCAAACGCTTCGATACACACATGCAGATGTCGTCTTCCGATTGGTCAGTAAAACTAGATGAACGTACATATCAAAATAAACTAGGGAAACTATATGCCTGAAATACATAATTAATTATTGCTGTTACATATACCACTAAAGGAGTTGCATATAGGTTATTTATTTGTATCCCTTTCACTGAAAATGGGATGTTTTTGTGCATTTGGAATCCTCCCTCCCCCACAAATTGGTGAGGTTTTCCAGTTGTTTTCAGAATTTGCCAAAGAAGAAGGGGGGGGGGGAGAGAAGGTTAAATAAAAACAAAAATAGCCAAATTCATCAACTGTACCATTGCTCATATTCAACCTATCCCAATATTTACAAATCAAAAATTAATTCACTCTACCTATGCCTTTGCAGAAGATTCCTCTAATGAGTACATCACAAGTAAAGAATGTAATTAACTGTCAGCCATGAAACAAGGAAAAAGCAATTGCTTCACCCTGCCAAAAATCACATTTATCTGGCAGTTATTTGACTGAATATTGGTTTCACCCCAACCACTTCCTTTAAACACTCCTCTGGAAGCAGATAGTCAGCTATCCTCCAGCCAAATAGAAGTTGAACCCAGAAGAAGCGGGGCGGGGGGGGGGGGCTGTGTGGAATATAGTAAGGAACCAGATCAAGTTGTTTCTGTCAAATGGCTCTTCACTGAGCATTCCTCATAGCCACCCAACAACCAGTTACTCCCGACATCCTGGGGAATTTTAGCAGAAGTGGCTTGTTCACATGTTATGCTGCACACATGTGCAATCTATCTCCACACATCTATAGGTGTTTGTGTGAAAGAGTATACACACGATAGCTCAATTTTTACGCACACAGACCATGCACTCGTTGAACACTACATGTGAATAACTGTACAAGGGTACAGCTCGGACTTGTGTAGGCAGATTGCACACTTGCTGAATGCATTGTGTGAACACTCCTGTTGATGCAGCTCAAGAAATTGCTGTAAGATTTTGTGTATGTGTGGTTTTAAAACCACACATAATCCTTGTTAGGTTTGCAAAAGCCTTCATATGTCTCCCAAAGCTGTTCTGAAGCACAGTTGAAATCCACATCTTTGGTGCACATGATGCACAATCTATTGGAACATATCCCCTGGCCATCCCCACTGAAAAAATGGCCAGGAGCTGTACAAGAGCACATCAATTGCCTTTCCTCATAGCAGCAGTGCCTATCTTTTTTGTAATACAAGTCCTATCAATTAGTTCAATGGAGTGTTTCTATACAAGACTCTGGACCAGGCTACCCTCTCGTAGTGCCCTCCAGATGTTTTGGACTACAACTTCCATCAACCTGACTAATGGCCATACTGGCTGGGGATGATGGGAGTTGTAGTCCAAAACATCTGGAGGTCTCCAGACTGAGGGAAGCTGCTCTAGTTCTTTGCTGGGCTTTCCTTCTACTCGTCTGAACTAAGAACCAGGCAGCAGTACCGTAACTGAGTTAGGCAGGAGTGCCACTTTTACTGTCTTCCAAAGGCAGTCCTGTAGGCCCACTTGTCACATGTGCCAAGGCTGACTAACTACTTTCCACATGGTTGACTCACTTGAACTCATCTGGAACTATCGCTCTATAGGCTCTTCATAGAGTTGCCCCTGTATCCTTCTTGGGATACATCAAGGTCTAAACAAGGTAGCCTATTTAAGAAGGAGGAAAGAGTTTGATGGGTTGGCCTTGTGGCTGCGTACAAACCTGGACACTTTCTGCTGCATTTTGTTATAAAGAAAAATGTTTTCCCGTGAGACTCTGTGAATAGCATCCTATCTGTTGAATTGAACTGAATCTCTCCAACTGAACAAGCTACTGAGGTCCAGCACCGAGGGCCTTCTGGCGGTTCCCTCACTGCGAGAAGCCAAGTTACAGGGAACCAGGCAGAGGGCCTTCTCGGTAGTGGCACCTACCTTGTGGAATGCCCTCCCACCAGATGTCAAAGAGAACAATAACTACCAGACTTTTAGAAGACATCTGAAGGCAGCCCTGTTTAGGGAATCTTTTAATGTTTGATGCATTACTGTATTTTAATATTTTGTTGGAAGCCGCCCAGATGGGTGGGGTATAAATAATGTTCTTGTTTAGTAGTTTAGTCGTGTCCAACTCTTCGTGACCCCATCAGGAGGTATTTAGAGTAGACCCACTGAAATCAATCAATATACTCTGAGTTTGAGGTAGTTGGATTTCATTCAGTGAAATGATGTTGGGTCCATAAATACAGACAGAATGAGGTTTGGCACAACTTTAATCTGCATGATGACTCAGAACTTCGTACTGTAGGTCATAAGCCGCATTATGCTCCAAACAGACCCATCTGAGTCTAAATCATATCCATGTTTTATTGTTTTGTAAGATAGGTTTAGTTGGTATCATGTATAATGGAGTGACTTTAAATTCTAAGGTTACTGTACAGTGTGGATTGAAAAGCACTCAGTAGCAGATGCCACGAACAAGCACTGGGCTTGTCACACTGCATGATTCTTTGAATCATGTATTTAAAAAATCAAATACTGCCCTGTACCTAGAAATGTGACATGCCTAATGACTTGCTAGTTGGAAGTGCTACATCATGAATGTTGTGATGCCTTATGTAACACCATGTTGATGAGCGCTGTCTGAGTGACTGAATTAACTGTGAATCACTCATCCATATGATCAAATCTGCTCCTGGGAAACTCCCTCTCCGTCTTTACACAGTGCAACCCTAAACAATAATCACTAAGCTTTAAAGCCTGTGGATTTTGACAAAGATAGTAGATTTGTGGCACATGGACCTTCAGTGGTCAAAACAGGAACACAAAGGTAAGTTCATGTGGGCTTTTGTGTGGAAGTCTATATTTGTGATTTTCTGTTCCATGATCAAAGTACGCTAAGGTTATGTTACCTGTCAGGAGGGAGCTAATGGGAAGAAAAACCTGGCATGTAAAAACTGAGCCACAGAGAAATGTTTGCTTTCTGTAACTCTGCCTCTGTAATACTAAGCTGAATAAGGGAGGTCATCAGAACTTGTCAAAATGTGTTGGTCAATGATAAAGATAGTCCTGTGTTCAGAAGCGGAAGAAGAGAATATTTTTAAGATGCTTTTGTGACACACACACAAAAAGAGGCACTTTTGGTTCTAAACTTAGCAGGCTAAAATGGAAGGTGGTTAGATGTGAAAGGAATAAAGTTTGAGATTCTGATAGATTGATTTTTACCTGAACTGAAGAGTCAAGATTAACACGAATGCTCAAACCTCTCCAGCGTTGCTTGAGTGATATTACTTATTATAGATTCACTTTTTCCTTCCCACACACACCCGCTGCTTGCCAGTTTCTATTCTTGACATTAACGAGCATCTCTGAATACTGGCTCATAATACTGAATCTCCAGAAGCCTCATCTGTTTTCCTAAGCACGAAGAATGCATCAGAGTGCTTGTTTGAGGAGGTCAGACAACTTGGAACTGGGGAGCGGGGCATTAAATCAATGGAGCTTCAGTGGGATGGGGAAAAGTCTGTCTTTGAGCCACTTTTCTGATTTTATGCAGACGTAGAAATTAGTGTGTCCTAGATTCCTAGGGTAACAAAAAGGGAAAATAGATTGTGTGACACCAAATACTTCCTCCCCTCCCCACATTTTCTAGCTTGAATGTAAAAACTAAATTGGCTAGATGTGCAACTTGTGACCTCCCACGTTGAAGGCATCATATCAACTATGCATGGCAGCCCACCAAGGTTTGATGGTCCTCCTTGTTTAGCTGTAAAAACAGGTGCAGTAGATTTTTTGGGGCACATGTCTGGCGATTTGTGTGTCTGGAATTAGGGGGGGGGTGGTCCCAAGTTGCATAGGCTTGCATCAGAATGAAAGTGTCTCTCTCCTGCTTTCTGTTCCTGGTTAGTAGTATTAAATGGTTCGGCACCATCACGCACCCACACAACCCTGTGGAGCCCACTACCAAGGCCTGGATCCTGCAGGTTCTTTGTTGCTATTGCTGCTTGTTCATCTTTCCCCTCTGAGCCTTGAAAGCACTATGGATATGGTGCAGCAGCTTCCAATTGCCTTGCACTCCCATTCTGGACAGTTATGTAGACTTGGGCCCAGAGAGAGGCAGGGCAAACAAATGGGAGCATTGAGGACAGTAGCCAAGGAGTAGACACTCATGGGAAAAGGGGGTGAAGAAGCCATCTTGCCCAAGGACTGCCCTCAAACCTGGAACAGCCACTACATCTCCATACATGTACACACAGAAAAGAAGTGTTTTTAGTGTCCTGAGCATAAATGCCACCAGCGCTGGACTTGAGCTCAGGAAACTTTGGTCCAAATCTTTGCTCAGCCATTGACTTAGTAACTGAATGGCATTGGGCAAGTAGTTTATCTTGCATCATTTGTACATGGTGGGAATGTGACTCATGCATGCACTTTACACCCTCTGGACTTGTGAATATGCACTACCTCCGAACCATTTGTATGTGTGTGTGTTGAAAATCAGATTATTTTACCGCCCATAAGTGTAATCTATTACAATGACCACGAAGCCTGACCTTTTCTAACTTTATATATTTGGAAACCAAATCTAGAAAGCTTGAAACAGTTAACAGCCTCCTTGGATCAAACCTTTAAAAATGTAACACTTATGTTCACCACTTTTATTCCATTTCTATTGTGCCCTTCTTCCAGGGAGCTCCAAGACTATTCTCTCCTCTCCCCTCCTATTTTATAAGGCAGTTTCAACAAATAGTGTTTAGGATCACCCAGTGAGTTTCATGGTCCTCTACAGACCATTTACATGTGGGCCCTTTGAAATGTGCCTCACTCAGGCCAGATCATTCCCCCGGCAAGATGAAACGCTTCCACTGATGGAAAACTGCCATAGCACTACACTGAATTCCTCCCTATATCTTTGCCGTAAAAGAATAATAATAAAAAAGATTCTGGGATTCTGGGATAGGGAAACAAATCCATTCTCTTATTGTCACTTTCCAGTAAACTCGGAGGATGGCCGTTCAGTGGATCTAGGTCTGCGTGGTGAAAGTGAAGAGAGAGGTTTCTACACTGAGATCTTCCACTCAATGTCTTGGGTGTTCAGAGGGGATGATGCCAGTCCAGATAACAGCCCCAGGTGTCTTAGCAAAAGGCCCAGACCCGTAGCAGGTAACACCTATGGTTTTATTTGTATGTGCCTCAGATCTACAAATGTACATTGTGTATACCTTTTATATATACAAATTGCCAGTTTAAACAGAGAGTCTCGCCTGTAGCAATTCAAAATAACAAAAAAGCATCTGCCTCTGAGGGAGGGGGATTTTTCCAGCTATATTAGAAATACACGACGTCAGGTGTTTTATTTCTCTCTCTTTTTGTCTTGTTTTAGTCCGTGAACGAACTGTAAGAATTGCTAAAGGAACGGGCGATTACCCCTGGGGATTCCGGATCCAATTCTCGAAGCCCATCCTTGTAACTGAAGTGGACACCAGTAAGTGATACCCACAAAGCTCATTTTCCTTATGAGCAGATCCTAAGTGACTTGCATGGCAGAGTGCTTAAAAGGAAGCTCAGAGCACCACTGAATTTATGATGACAAAGAGCCTCGGGGCAAACCGCTAGCTGGCAGCTCAACAAGTCTCCTGTGTTCTTTTTATTATTGTTGCTATGAAGTTGATTTTCTCTGCAATATAGATAGCGACATAAAAGTATCATTCTGCATTATACCCCTGCTTAATTTTATAGTCCTCCTGCAAATGGATTAGGGGTTGCTTTTGCGGATGACGTTGGCTGTTATACTGAAAATGATAAGAGGAGGAACAGATGCCCATTTATGTGCCATTTACTTATTGATAAATGATCTTCCCTGACTGACTTTTCATTTAATGAAACTAAAAGGGTCAGGCACAGCCTGGGGCAATTTCCCCTCCCAATCATATATCTCTGCTAAGGAGAGGTGATGATCATGACAAAAAAGGTCAGTGATCCATATAAAGCAAGAAACTATTTGGCAGTTAAAAAATCATACAGGCTTTTTCTTCTCTTTCTGAATTTTTAACAAGATCAGCTCCCTACATCTGACTTGCTCCTGTAATAGCTAAATAGGATTCCTATATAGGCAGTGCTTTTTTTCTGGGAGGACACAGGGGGATGCATACCCCTAAACATTTTGTGAATCTAAGTTTGGCCTCATTGGGGGGCAGTATTTCAATATGAGTAGGAAAATGAGAGAACCCTTAAACATTTCTTTTTTTAAAAAAACACTGCCTACAGGAATTATTTAGGATCATAAGCATGAGCCTACTACTTCACAGGTATGTTCCTCTCCTTCCCCTCATGTGACTGACTTTGCCATTTCATGCAAGCCTAGTGTACTATGGCTTGTCTGTACCATAGTTTTGCTCACCGGTGAAATCTGCAAGCCGCTGTTTGCAATCCCAGCATACAGAGAAACTATGGTTTGAAGAAACCGCTACTTACCAGATTCAGATAAGGTGGGAAGTTGGTTTGCTACTAGATCAGGAATGGAAGTTTTCAGTTGCCACCCCCACCTGAGGGAAGAAGCTAGTCTTTGAGGAGCATGCTTTAGCAGTACATCTGAATGCTGTTATAATTTTGAGGGACCATGCAGCCAGGATGGAGAAGTTGCTGTGTTAGAGCCAACCCCTGATTACATAGGAGCCAACTCCAGTTTTCAGCTCTCCCAGTAAAATATTTGAGGTGCCCACCCCTCTCACAGTTGATGGGCATTGACATTCAAATGGTGTGCACACACTGCGTCATGTGATCAGTTATGCGGGGCAGGCCTTACCTGGGCTTCAAGTTGGCACCCCTGCCTGATTATGACATTTATCATAATTTTCCTGCTATACTGGGACCAGACTTCCATTTCTTCCTTAAGCTAAATGCTTTCTGAAACATTATGTTTGGGTCTTGGGAATGTCAGTGACTGAGGTGGATTTTCAGAAGCCATACACGATTCAAGAGTAGAACACAGAGAAGCCTAAAGTAGTTACCATAAAAACAATTTTGGCCATTTGCTTTCATTTCCAAATGGCAAGAGCCAATAATTCTGGAACAAATTCTTACAAAATGGCTTCTTTTGTCCAAAATGAAGCAAATAGAGATCACAAAAAATGGCATCTGAAGTCCTTAAATTGTTGAGCATACTGGAATAGCTTCAGAAATCTCATATCACCTCTCTAGAGTTATCAGTCTGTTGAATAGCAGAATGGTCATAATGTATAATTTATCATTTTGCTTTTTTTATGGAAAGAGAAGAAATTCACAGTGGTCTTGTATCTCTCATTCCCTGTTAACCTTCTGATTTCCTTCCCCATTGCTCTAAGACAGGACTCTGGGGTTTATGTTGTAAGACACACTTATTAAATCACAAGGTACTAGTAATGTTAAAATTTTACTTAAGTTAATCAAAGAGGACATTTATGTGTTTTTTTCTGGGGGGTGGGAAACATGCTTACCTGGTACATTATGACAGTTTAATTATATACTGAAAACGGAAGGTAAAATGATGGTTCTGGTACACATCCTCGTAGGATTCAAATGCACCTACGTTGAACATATTTTCTGCTTATGTAAGTTCTTGTCTATTCCTAGCCTGACTTTATATAAGTCTTCCTATAAAAGTAGTCCATGCAGTTTTCAGCTGCCGAACAATAACCCAAAGGAGGATACCTTAGCACTTTCGGATCAAGCGTGCTTTTCTATCCTACCAGCAATTGTTTTTCCTTCTAAGTGAATTTATGGCTTCCGTCCTTCTTTGCAATAACGAGGAAGGCACGGCAGAAGAGCAAGAAAAATTCAGGCCTTTGACGCAGACTCTGCTCTGCTGTGTTTTGATCTTAAAATGCCTTTCCTTTGAATGGAACAGTGGGTGGGTGGGAATTCTTGCCTGTACTCCTGGTCTCTATACCAACATTGGATCTATTTCGGTTTGTGACATAGTATGATCTCTTTGTTTTCACTTTTAAGGGAGGAATTCAGCATAGTGCTATGGCAATCAGTCCAATATTTTCAGTTTGTCAGGTGGAACAACACTCTCCCCCCATGTTGGGGGAGGCTGTGCCCCCACGGTCTTTTTTCGAGGAGGCATGACCAGGCACCCCTACAACAGGCTCTGCCATCGGAGCCTGGCTTGCGCATGGCTGTGGCAACTGTGGAGGAAGGCCACAGAGCATGAGAAAGCTGCAGCTTCCTCGTCCCTGGCCGCAGTTCTGCTCCCAGGTGCATCCTGGGTACTCTTTGCGAGGGGAGCCACCACAGGCTCCCTCCATGCCCCGTGCCTACGATAACCAAGAATAACTTGAGCATATTCCAGATTTCCTCAACATTGTGCCTTCCTGATGTTTTGGACTACGACTTCTATCAGGCCCAGCCAGCATGTGAAAGCTAAACTTTTCTATGTTGGTCAAGCTGCCCCACACACACACAAAAATGGCTGGAAGGAAAACTGACCCCTGGCCCCTTTGTGTTGTGTTTATTTATGCGTGAAAGGTGAACTCCTCTTGGCATATTATCGAAATGTCCTGAATAAGGGTCCTTTTCCCTTTCTGTTGCAGACAGCTCAGCAGAAGAAGCAGGCCTCCAGATTGGAGATATTGTGATGGCTGTCAATGGAATGGACGTTAGCAGCATGCCACACTCAGAGGCTGCAAATTTGGCAAGAAAAGGTAATGATACCAATGCAGTTAACTGCTTTGCTGTGGTGTTTGTTTGTTTTTTTTGTTTTGTTTTTTTGGTCAGGTTTTTTGAACCAAGATTTGTCACTTTTTACAAACAAAAACCATAAACTTAGATAGTGGAAATAAATAGGAGGCAACATTTTTAAAATAAATTGTACATAACATAGCAGTCCCGCCCCCAACACTTGAATCTCAAAGAATTTTTGTGTCCTCCTATAAATGTCCAAGGATTTTTACACACACACTTGCTCCTGCTCAAAAGTCTGTTGCAAGTATGGACAGGGGAGAAATTAAATTCAGTTTGCATTTAAAAGAAAAACTTACAAAATCACACTTTCCAAAACAATATATGAACCAAAACATAGCCATCTCTTGAAATCCACACTCCTCAAAATTTTGCAGCACAGTTTTCCAGCCAAGGAATGTCTTCAAACAGGCATATATTACTAAGGCATGGGGATCATGGAAACAGTGAAAATAACTTATGTATTAGAATAGGGAAAATTGTTTTGCAGAAATGCGTATATTAGGCAAAATTGCATACAAACATGTGTATATTAGGAGAAATTCGCACTAAAATGCTGATAAATTTTCACGAGGCCTAAAATATATATCAAAAACTGATGTGGAAATGGGGAGAGAACTGAAGACTGGAAAAATGAGAAGCACAAAATTGACAGGTCTGCCTGTCACTAATTGAAGGTGTATGGGAGCATTTTGTGCAACTATTAATCAATTCCTTGGTTCAGAAACTATTCAGTCCTTGCCTTGCCCAACTTTGTCTAGTCACATTTGGCTATATAGATTAAAAAAATCCACTTTCTAGGAGCCTAACATCCTTCTGTTCGCCAAACTCACTACCAAAGAGCCAGCACTCTTCAGGAGCTACAATCAGACTTTTTATCTCCATGAGCTGGAGAGTGACAGGGTTGGTGATGAAGGCAGAACTTGACATTTTTATTCCTGCTCACATGTAGTAGGCTTTACACAAGTTCAGAAAGTCCAAAATGGGCTATTGTGTTATCCAAGATGAAAATGTTTCTGTTGGTAAAATAACTGCTCCGAAAGAAACACATGTGAAGGAGCTTTGGTCAGGCTGTTCTCCTAACTGCATGTGCAAAAGAAACTCTGGCCTAGGGATTATTTTCCTTCATGAGCTCTTGCAATAATTGCAAGGGGGAAAGCAGGAGCAAATTAAAGAGAGGCCAGAGAAAACAGATTGACATTTCTGATGTAAGTGTGCTTGAAAGTGCCACAGATTCAATTTTAAAAAAGAAAAAAAATCTTTCAAGTGAGAGCCTACCTATGAATTTTATCATTCAGCTGCATTGGAAAAGCTGACTTTGACAGTAAGGGCAAGTTACTTTGGACATGCGGAGACTGATGGAGCAATAAGGTGACAGTGATCCGAGAGGAAAGCCTTGGTTGGATAAAAGACCCTCATTTTCTCTTTGTGCCAGCTACTAATATTGTTATCTGCTCATAGCATCACTTAAGTCTAGGCCAAAATGTCAGGTGGAAAGAGCACATTTAGCAATATTGCTTTTGGGTCCCATGCCTCAAAGACAGATGGGTCCTGACAGTGGCCTTCAAGACATCAATCTACTATTTATGTCTGGAGTTTCTTCAGGAGGAAAATTCATAGCTGGCTCAATGAACACGTTAGACCTGTCTGTGTATAAGAGAACCAACATCCAGGTGCAACTAATATGTTACTTGATGAGGAGAGTGTTTTATACCGGGGAAACAAAATGCCACTTAAATTAATTTTAAATTATTTCCCTGGGATCAGTGGCATAGCGTGGGGGGTGCAGGGGGTGCTGGCCGCACCGGGCGCAACATCTGGGGTTAGGGCAAATCCACGGGTTAGGGGGCGCAAATCCACAGGTTAGGGGGCGCAAATCCACGGGTTAGGGGGCGCAAATTACTTGCCTTGCCCCGGGTGCTGACAACCCACGCTACGCCGCTGCCTGGGATATATTAAAATCAAACCGTACCCTTTAGTGCATGTCAGTTACTTCCACCACATACTGAATTCCACCATGCTATGAATTTGACAGAGATCAATACAGGTTTAATTTTAATGAAAAATGATTTCACAAGTGACTGACAAATTTACCTTGACACTCATACCAAATTCTTTAATTATAGGAGTGCAATTCACACACTTGCGTTGAAGAGAATGGCAGTCATTTACCACATCTATCTCTATTTACTAAGAAGTGTTTTTTTTTAAAAAAAATCATTCAGGATGCCCCCTCACATCAACTAGGCCTTAGGCTGATTAACATCCAAACACCCTTGTGAAAACCGTGGGCTATTGGTTAGTTTTCATTTTATTATGTATTTTGTGTTCTCATTTTGTATTTTGTATTGGATGAAGGGCGGTGTACAAATTTAGTAAGTAATAATAATATAGAAGAGTTTTTCCCACCTCCCTGCTTCATAGACTTTAATTTACCTTGTAATAGACCACAATATAATCAAATATTTCAGGTCCAGATATCTTGACATTGTTGGTTGGCTCTGATATCAGTCGTTGTCCCAACACCCCTCGCCCAACATGTCGAGGATATCTGCACAAACGAACCCAGTCAGGAATCCTGAAGGGCTGGAGGAAGAGATGGTTTGTGCTAAAGCACGATGGCTGCCTCTACTATTACAAACACAAAAAGGTAAGGCATGTGTATAATTATTTCGTTTGTCCATTGAGGGAGCACGCTGGTAGTGGGTCTGTCCAAATTAAGTACAGTTGTACCTTGAAAATCAAACTGAATCTGTTCCGAAAAGTTCGGAAACCAAGGCACAGCTCCCTATTGGTTTCCAATTGTGCAGGCATGCTGGAAACAATAGCGGAAGTCGCGCCAGATGTTCGGCTTCCAAAAAAAAGTTCAACAACCGGAACACTCACTTCTGGTTTTCAATTGTTCAGAAGCCGGAACATTTGACTCCCAAGGCGTTCTGGAGCCGAGGTACAACTGTAGTGGGCAGACCATCCCCATAGCTGACAACCTTCCCTTTCTTTGCGGGAAATTCCCTTATTTCAGCATCATTTCCTGCTGCTTCCCACTGCTATCCCAGATTTTTAGATATCCTGTAGACTGTCTCTGGGACAGGTGAGGCTGCTGATCCCTTATTTTCAAATCTGAAAGTTGACAGCTATGGCCATATCCTACTCTGTTTTTGAGAGTGCTCTCTTTCTCTCTCTTACACACACACACACACACACACACACACACACACACACCATGCATTGAACTTCCGGGAGAGTGTAATGTTAGTCTACGTTTTTAGTTTGTTCCAGTTCACCAGACTCCGGAGCAATCTAGTCCGGGCCATACACAAACCTCTGGAGACTAGCTGCCGAGGCAGCTGGGGATATTTTGTCATACCTAATGCGTGTTTTGGTTACCATCCTTTGTGCAAAAAGTACATCTGGAACAAATTGCTCTTGTCAGAGGTTGGAACAGATCAGTTACAGAGGGCTTCCCCCCTCCTTGCATCCATCCCTCTGTCTTGTCCCTACCCACCCCCTTTTTCCTCTCCTCCCTGCCTTCTCTCCCTCTGAGCTCCCACCCCACACATGAAATAGGCTAAGGGCCATTTGAAGAAAGCTTGAGGATAGCAGGTCCCCTACCCCTGATTCAAAGACTCTAATCTCAGAGGGTCAAAATGAATCCTATCTTCAAATAGACATCAGATGAAAATGGAAGGGAATCATCCAAGTCTGAGGCCTGTTCCTCTTCCCTCTTGCAATCTGAGGAATAAATTTAGAGTACACCCTTATTTTATTTTTAATCTACTGGGTGATTGTATAATTAGTGATTGCTTTCCAAACTTGATTTAATTAATCTTGGCTTAAAGCAACTTACGTTTTGAAGACTGTCGCTAGGAGACACATCTTATTACATAACTTCCCCACTAAAATAAGCAGTAACTGTACAGGTAATGTAGCATAGACATTTACATTCAGTTGTTTTCTGTTTATTTTCTTTATTCATATAAATAATAAACTCAACAATGTTAGAAATTAGTTCACTTTGCGCACTGAGAACCCATCTTGTACTGAATCCCTCAAAGAGCCAGTGTTAATTTCAAACCATATCCAGCAGGTGGAGAACTTTGATCAGAGATCTTTTTGAAAGTACTGGGAAAAGTCAATGTGTGGGTCCTCAAATGAGATTTTATCAGACCTGAGTGCATTTTAGCTCCCTAAACCATCTACTATCATGAAATAAAAGGTCAGTGTAACTGGGAAGAGCTGAAGTGCAGTGGTAGAACATCTACTTTGTCAATGGTCCAGCATCTTCAAGTTGAGCTGGAAAAGATTCTTGTCTGAAACCTTGGATAGCCATTTGCAGATGGACCAGTACTTTCACTCAGTATATGGCAGCTTCCTATGTTCCAAATTGAATCTGGATTCTTAAGATAGACCCAAAATATTACCTCTTCTGCATGTGAATGGGTGTGCATATATGTTTGACAACATGATTCCCCCCCCCTTTTTTTTTTGCATACAATGCTAAGTTGTTAACAGGGCGATTGCGTGTCACTTAATCTAAATAGTAAGTTAAATGTTAGGAGCTAACTTCTTCACTTAGTCTAGAAAAGTGGTCTTAAACAGGTGGGCCACGACCCACTTCTGGATTACCACCTGACCTAAGGTGGGTCACAACAACAGCCAGGAGTGTCAGCTTGGCCTCACAACTGTGGGCACCCAGGGCCATGGGCCCGAACACCAAAATTTAGCCCATTTGGCCCTGGCACCAAAATTTGTGGGTGCCCACCCCCTTCATGGGGAATTTTGTGGGTGCTCGGGGCCCCAGGGAGTTGTCAGCTGTGATAACAGCAGTACCACCAGGCAAATATATGGCAAAAAGTTAATAAAAGGGTTGAGGACCCACCATATGGGAAACCTCTGCAGAGGATTGCAGTGCCTGGAGACAGGCAGTCAGGTTGTTTATCCACAGCAGTGGCCAGAGGAGGAATGACCGCTGGGAGGCTTGCCGAGAAGAAATGCCATGGTGCATCCAGACACCTTCATCTGCCCCACCTGCAATGTCTCTCCCATATCAGTCTCTACAGCCACAGCAGGCGCTGTAACTCTCCAATGGTTAGACTTTACCCCCCCACCCCAAGGTACACGCTTCCAGTGTCTCCCGAGACAGACGGATGCCAACGCAACACACAGGTCCTGAGTTTGACAAGGTTGAAGTCAACCCCTCCAAAGAGTGTGAGATATGATCCATCACCTACAAAACATCTACTTTATATCTGTGGTATTGCTTAAGGAAACTTGGCAGTTAATCATAGTTTCCCAATATGTACAAATGAGGAACTGGGACGAATGGCTTCCAAACAAACTTAAGATTTGGAATAAAACTTTACTCCGCTAAAACACTCCATTCCATTCCCACTCCTAACATGCTTTTTTATATCCCCATCAGTCATTCAGCACTTTATGAGTCATCATCAATAGTCCTCATTGGTCAATTTAGGGAGTCTACCCTCTTAAGTCCCCCTTCCCCAATATCTACTGTAATTTTACTCTTTACTATTGGGTTCAAATGGGTTATTGAATATATATTTATTTGATATAAGTTTTTTATTTTAAAGTTATTGTGTCTTTTTATATTGGATCAGATTGTTACTATTAACATTTGATGTTTTATTATTATTTTATGTGCGTTGGAAGCTGCCCAGAGTGGCTGGGGCAACCCAGCCAGATGGGCGTGGTATAAATAAAACATTATTATTATTATTATTATTAATTATTATTATTATTATTATTACTTTTCTACAACCCAACCCTACTGATACCTTCCCTCTTGTGTGAGGTTTGATATTTTGGCTACATAAGCAATGACACTCATGTCTGAACACTGGAAACGGAGGGGATGATAAGGCCTTTTTATCATTAAAATGCTCTATACTAACCAATTTTTTTGCTTCTAGAGAGATTTGTTTGCATTTGCAAGTGCTTATTTAAGATCTGAATATGTATTTTGACTTTTTTTTTAATGAAAGAGGCTTAGCCTCAGGAGCTGTAGCTCCTGCTTCCTCTGCCTGCTCAAGGACCCACAAATGTTGCAGAGACAGGAAGTGGAAGGAGAGACAGCTCCCTAGAGAAGCATTGTTTACCACCAAGGAGAGGACTGGGACAAGTCCCAACATCCTTTGTGGGGAAAATGGTGCTATCAGCATCTATTTCTCTTGGGGAGAAGGCCATTCCAGTAGCTTCATTTCCAACCAGGGATGCTGGGACTCCGAGGATCTTTCTTGTTGGTTAAGGTTGGTGTGCAAGGAAGTTAGAACATCTGCTGTCAACTTCAGTACTAACAGCTCCCCACCTCTCTTTGCGGGCACTTGGAAGGAAAGGCATCAGCGGGAGTTCACATGTGCAAGGTGACCCGAGTTTTGCTCACCTTGCAAATGCAAGCAGATGTTCAAACAGGGGTGCTCCCATTTGCAAATCCCCTCCCTTTTAAAAAAAATAGATTGTCACCTCTCTGTGCTATTCTGATTCCGATGTCACACAATATGAGAAAGGAACAGCAGATGGAAGTCATTTTTAATTTCTTGTTTTATAAGTTTTACAATCGTTCACATCATTGGGAGCACAAATGATGTTAGTTATAAGAATTGTGTTGTTTCATATATTGCTATTGTCTGTTTGTCAATTTATAGTTTATTTGATTGTATGTTGGTTGGTTGGTTGGTTGGTTGGTTTGCTTTCCAGGGATAAATGTATCTAGATATATTTAAAAAGAGAGAGAGAGGAAGATATATTTAAAAGAGAGAGAGAGAGGAAGGAGCAGCAGCAAATAGTCACGTTGCTCAAAACTGTATAAGATTTCTTGCCAGCTTACTGGCAGACATTTCCTTCCAAAGGTAGATACATAAAACTCTGTTTAAGAACCACACTCTATTACAGTAGGTGCATAAGCTTAGTGCCTTCAGGAAGCCCCAAGGCAAAGAGCTTGTGCAACTGCGTAGCAAAGGACAGCAAGAAATACAGGGAAAGACCGTGTACTTCCTCACCACAGCAGCGGGTCACTCAGACAATCTAGGTCAACAGAACCTAGTTTTATAAACTATTAATAGATGGCTTAGCCTGATTATCACCAGAGGGCGTTGGTTATCTGAAGATGTGTATTGCCTGGGCTATCTTATTATCTCAGTCTATTCTTCTCTAAGCCAGGTAAACCTAATCCCGTAAGTGTGGGTTGTGCGTACACAAGGAAGCTTCCCTTCTGTACATACACGTACGCCACTTGCCAGATTGACTTCCACATGTCCAACTGGCTACTACATACATGGCTCCCCTGGCCAGATGCCAGGAGAATTATTTTATTTTGAGGATCTTGCATTCCACACCAAGCAGATGTTGCCAGCCTTGGGAGAAGAAAAGGAATCAAGGCTTGGAGAGGAATTGGACCCATTCCCTAAACTAATAATTGGTTGTGTAAGAACTGTGAGCTTCCTAAGTAGCAGTTGTAAAGGAGTTGGCCAGTTTGGGCAACTAGCCGTCCATAGGCTTTTTAAGCCAGTGATGGGGAACCTGTGGCCTTCCAAATATCATTGGACTCCAGCTCTGAGACCCTCCAATTGCAAGAGATGATGGGAGTTGGAGATCAATAACATATGGTGGGCGAAAGGTTCCACATCTCTCTAC